CATCAATTTGCCGCCGCGGTATCAGAAATCATTCTTTAACCAGGCAAGTTTCAGCTGGCAAAGTGTCACGATTCAGACAACAGGGCAGCTAAGCATAGCAAGTGGCTAGTTTAGCCCGTATACTACTACTCCTTATAGAAAGGATAAGAGGCGTATATTAATTACCTGGAGGAGACTTGGTAGGAGGGGTGCCTGTGGATTGAAAATGCAATGAGATCAGCAAACGGCAGTAAGATATATGTACTGAAATCGTCTCAACAAAATGCCAGCTACTGCCATGGTCAAAGAATAGATTATGACAGTTGGACAAGTAGAGATCAAACTAGATAATTTTCAGAACCAGTTTAACGACCGCAAAGTAAAATGGATAAAACAATTCATCCAAGACTGGGCTTAGACTAACACCCCCATAACAACAACTATGTTATATTAAACCGGCATAATCTGACACCCTAAATTCGCTGGATTTACTAACTAAGATTAGCACCACATCTGGAGTGGGGAAGATGAAGGCATCTAGAACTCTTGATGCCTCCAAACTCTTCTTTTTCTCTTCATTGCAAGCCATCTGGTCCAAGATTTCACATCTAGATTTTGCATTGTTTCCTTCTATACAGCCATTTGATGGCGACGGTCACAGAATTGCTGAAGACCAACTTCCATACGACACCAGCAACGAAGTAACAAACGTGTAAACGTAAGTACCGGGGTTTCTTTGAGCAGGTATCAGGATCAATCAATTTCCTATTACCTGGATAACAGAAACTAAAAGTTCAAACAGGGGATTTTTTTCCCATCCCTTTGCACATTTTGATCTGCCATGTGTAATACTGCCTACTAGCCTACATCTTAGCTAATCTTTCTTAGTTGCTTGGAAAGATCGATCACGAAATTCAGCAGTAATTTCCACCATCGTCAGATCAAACATGCACTAGTTCATAACAGGTCCTAGCAAATCAAATCCTAAACCGGAATCGGGTAAACCAAATCGCATTTCTAAAATAAAACATGGAGAGCATTCCGCGCGGTAAAAATTCCAAAGAAAAGTAGGAGAGGGGAGGTGGGGCGGGGTGAATTACTGGGGCAGCTGCTGACGTCCTCGGTGACGCCGCAGCGCTTGGAGAGGCGGAGCGCGTCGGTGACGTTGATGTTGAAGGCCTTGAAGATCTCGGGCGAGGCGTAAAGCGCGCAGAGGCAGGCCCTCTCGTTCTTCACGGCGTCCCGGAGCGGGCCGCAGCAGGTCTCCGGCGGCTTCTGCGCGTCCGTGCCGTTCATGTAGCCGGCGCAGCCCGTCAGCTTGGACGCGCACGCCGGCGTGCCCGACGACTGCGCGCCGCGCCCGCCGCCAGCACGCTCGCCACCAGCAGCAGCACCGCCACCGCCGCCGGCACCCGCATCGCCATCTCTCTCTCTCTCTCTCTCTGGTGTGGTGTCACGGGGGAGAAGGGCGGAGAAAGGTGGTGCCTTTTTTCTTCTGGAGCGTGGACTCTGGCACCGTCTGCAGAGAGTGGATGGTGGCGCCGCTTTTATGAGAGGAGTGCGCCGCGTGTTCCGAGAGAAGACAACGTCCAGCGGCGAACGGCGTTCCTTCGTGGTTTCCGATCTCGACTTTTCGGGTTTCGAGAAATGGGCATCGACACTTGGCAGCCTGCTCCAGCAGGTGGTACCAACTCCGAAATGCTCCAACGGTACCATTAAAACAACAATTTTAAATGTTTCAAAAAATTCTGAAAACAAATGTGAACGTTCACGAAGAATGTCGCTACACCTCATAGAAATTTCAGGTCCAAAATTGAAATACACATTAAGAAAAAAGAAGACAAAATCGAATGTGAATAGTGGCGTTTTGACTTTCGTTTTTCATGACACACTATTCATGCTTGATTTGTCCTCTTTTTTCTCAATGTGTATTTCTAATTTTGATTTGAATTTTTTTAGGAGTTGTACGCTCATGTGATGTGGGCATCCATTATTTTTCAGAATTATTTAAAAACATTTTAAATTGAGTTTCTTGAAATGATATCATGGTAGCACGAAAAAGGGATGGGAGCACATGATATTCTCCCCTCTGTGTGATTCAAAATCAAAGGTTGTAAAATCTTTTTTCATAAATGCGACGAATGCTCTCTGTATTCTCTCTAGAATGGTGTATAGTCAAATTGTTACTATTCTCTGCTTTACATTGATTGAAATTCTAGATTTATTCTAAATCAAACCTCTCTGGGTCTATTACATTTTGTAACTTACTCAAAAAAATGAGGCGGCGGCGGCTCACTGAATATGGAATTATAACCTGCTCAGCAATATGAGGCGGTGGCGGCTTCTTGAAGATGGAATAAAGTCCACCCTCCCTATCCCTCGTCCCGGCGATGCGTCCAGCATCTTCGAAGGCATGTGGAGCCATCAGGATGAAGGCATGCCCCAGCCAAGACCCAGGCCAAATACTTTCTACAGTGTTAAACAATAGAAAGTTTGCCACAGTGCATGAAGAAACCCGGCCTCACGACCCAGCCCGCCATCTGGGCAGCCTAGGGTATGTCTCCGTCGTTGTGTGAAGGTGTGTCTTCGGCGGACCTCGTGGGATCCCCGTTGATCCATTCTTCGTTCGTGTGTCTACAATTTGGATCATTTCGATATACACTTCTTTTCCTCGGCGGCGATTGCTATGCGGCGGTTGCTATTCCGACTTGTCTTGTACAGCCTTAACACGGCGACTCCCCGATCATCTACTATAGAAAGTTTTGCTCGGCTCCAACAAGGGAGAGGCGATCAGAGTGACGCGCGCTTCCGGTGCTTGTAGTATTCACTCGATGGTATATGGACCTGAATGCATTTTTATTTCATTTTTGCTATTTTTGGTGTTCCTCGCACTACTATGAGAGATGACGAATGTATCTGGAGTTTTTCTGCAAAAAGAATAATTAAAATTCTATTTTTTTTCCTTTCTTTCTAAACCATGCATATCTAGATTTTGACCAAGTATAGGAAAAGATTATGCGACTGCTGCATGACGGTTGCGAAAATCTATTTTAGAAGAAGACACGAGCTTAGCCTGTCCGCGTCACGCCTACCTTTCTTCCCCCTCCTTCCAGAGCAGAGCAGGAAATGAAGAATACGTGTGTGCGACTCAGGGTCGATTCGGTTCAAACTTGCGACCGAGCCTCGCGGAGGAATTCGCCGTGGGCAACCTTGTGTTCAAAAATCTGATTTTGTCTCGTTTGGATCGCCGGCTGCGCAGTGACGAGACGACACGGGGCCGCCCTGCTCTGCTCTGTATGTGAAAAGTCTCAGCAACATCTTTTCCTTCCGCCTGAATCTGTGCTCCTCACGGACGACGAAAACGCGCAAAGTTCCAAGAGTGAAGTCTATTTTAAACCCTGAAAATGTAGAGCACGACGCAAATAAACCCCGACGTTCAAATCCCTGAAATCCATACCCTGACTCCCTGATCCCGGTCGTTTTTTACCTTTAGGTTGTATCCAAACAGGGGGATTTCTACCTGGCCAGAGAACGGACAGGATCAAGGTGAGTCATCTACCTGCAGGTGGGTCTCATGGTCGCCTGGTTTGCTCTGCACGCTCCCGCACCGAGCGCATGCCACTGTCGTCTAAACCTTTGGACCTGCTGCCGGCGACCTCGATCACGCATATCCACGGGTTGCTTTTGGTCCAGGGCACACAGCCACCATGTTCGGTCCAGTACATCGCAGCACGCGCATAGCCAAACGCTGGCGCGCTCGTGGCCGAGACCGACGTCCTCCGTCTGCATGCCTTCTCGAACTCCTCCACCGCGGCAAGCCGTTCGACGAAATGCCTAGTCGTTGCTGTGTCGGACAAGACGCACGTACAAGCTAGCTCCAAACTTACTGAGCTGATTGATTCCGGCCGGATACGTACGCAACACACACGAACATGTAGGTTTGATTTGGTTGCAACAGGAGCTAGTTTCACGTGGAGCAATTGCTCCTCCGACATGCCGCTCTCCAACTCACCTTCTGTCGCCACCCGGTGTGAGCAGCAGCGCACTTCGATCCAAGCCGAACGGCGGCGGCCAGCGCAACCAACGACGAACAGCGGAGAACCTGCGCGTGGTGTCGGCTGAGAGGAGCACAGGGTGGCGGTGGCGGCGTAGGTATCGGCATGCTTCGAGGGCATGCACAGCTCCATCCTACGTGCCTGTCTTTAATTGCAATCCCACCATCCCACGGTGCCACCTCAGCAAATCCAGTTCTAAACGGGTGTAAGGGTAATTACAACCGGGATCGAAGACTTCAGGGTACGGACTTTAGGGATTTAGACGTCGGGGTTCATTTGCGTCGCGTTCTACATCCTCAGGGTTTAAAACAAACTTCACTCAAGTTCCAATGGGCGGCGCCGCGGAGCGGAGGAACGTGCCTGCCTACCGTGATAGCCAATCAATTCCACGTGAACAAACCACGCGCGGAGGCTTTTCTTCATGCCGTTGCTCCATGCCAACATGTGAACCGGGCGCATTTGACTGGTGTATATTTGCACTGAACAATCGTATGTTGAATGTTACTGTGGTCGATCTGTAATGGTTTAGTATTTGTGCAGTAGGCCTAGTGTTGGTACAAATGTTGTGAACTACTTATATGGTTTTCTTTAATGAAAATCAGAGGGGGCGGCCCTTCTTTAATTAAAAAAAGTACTGCGCAATCACAGAGGAGAAGAATAGTTACTGTAGCAGAGATCATTTCCCCAACAAATCCCATCGCTCCACAGAGCACTCACAAATAACACGAGTCAAAGTAGGACCTTCACTTCCCACGCACTATAGCAAAACAACGCCGGTGCAGCAAAATCTGCTAGAACAAAGAGGTTTCAAAATTTAGAAAAGAGAGTGATATCCTAAAGGTCCTGCCGTTCCAAAACGCATGAACTAGAAGCAGCAGCAGCAGCAGCATCGGAATTGGAGTTTGTTTATTTAAGAATATAAGTTCTAAATTGGCAACGAGACGAAATGGTGCGTGTGATTTCAGCTCAGCTCCTCTTGTGCTCTCGGACCTCTTTGATGATGCCTTCGGCCAGGGTGTCTTCATCGTAGTTCTTGCCGAAGAATTTGACGAACTCCATTTTCGGGTTCATCAAGTACCTGCACAAGTAGATAGCCATATGATCAGCATTTATTTAACATGTACTACTAACGCGGAACGACGGCATAAATGAACATCAGGTTGGTACCTAGTCTACATCCCGCAAAAAAAAGGGTACCTAGTCTTTACATAAACGAACATCCAACAACCAACTTGCTAATTCTCGTCAGTAGGACCTACTCTTTGCATCATGACATTTCAGCCTCATGATAGATAGGCTGAAAATACCTCTTTGGTGGAACGCACTCCCCATGATTAATGATCCCTCGACTCAACATCTTAAAATGAAGTACGGTCAATACCATAGTAACCATCATTATAGGTGTTGGCTACAAAAGTTAATGAAAATGAAGAACAACTCACTGATGGAGACAGCGACAGAGTCCACGGTATAGCTGGACGGACAGCCTATAATCATCACTCATCACAGCAAAGTACGAGTATGATCTATAATGGGTGCCACATGGGTTGCATCCAACAAATATTGCCTGCTTTATCGGTTCAGTTTGGGAGGCACATTAATTCGTTGCAGCTGGCCTTATTACAGAGGACAATAGCATGTTGTATGCCAGGTCAAGTCCCCGTTTGAACAGGGCAAGTTGGTCCATCCGATATTTTAGTTCGAGAACTGGCAAAGGCAAGAACGACCTAATTGTTTTCCCTCTAATGAAGGTCTTCTACTTTTGGTTTTGTTACTGCATACAGTAAAATTGCTACCCTATTGATTAGTGCATATCTACCGCAAATTACATATACCATCAAAATCAAAGGGAAGTGATAAAATGATAGAAAATGTCAAGAACTTTTTTACATACATGACGATTGAATGATCAACAAGGTAGTCAGAACCCTCCTCCTCTGTCTTCATATAGTAGACTCGATAAGCACGAGCAACCTTTCTCACCTCATCAGAGGTACCAGTTAGTCCTATGAGATCTTGATGGAACTCTGACACACAGACAAGTGACAGTAGTTAGACATCACAGCTGAAAACAATACAAAGTGATGCAGCAATATCAATATATATGATAGTAATATGTTACTTAACAAAAAAGGTAAGCAAATTTAATGCATGCAGAAAAATAAACTAACGAATGTGGCAAAGTGAGCAACCCACCACTGCTAGAAATTGCATACCTTTAACATAGTCATGGACTTGCTCAACAGTGTCTCTTTCAGGATCAACTGAGATGAACACTGGCACAATTTCTAGTTTTGCCTTTTCCTCTGAAGAAAATGAAAGCAAATCTTTATGATGATATCCATGGAAACCATCCAAAAATTGAACAAAAAAAAAAGATTTATGTCTGCTAGTGCTGTTTTGTTTCATTTTTTGTCCTTTTTGGAATCTTTAACTACGGCAAATCAAACTATATCCTGAAACTCCACTGTGGCACAATATGTGTTATACAGGAGATGAGTACAGATGTACATGTAGCTGAAAGTCTAAAGCAGACAAAACAATCACATCCTAATGTTCGTTGGGGCTCTAAAGTTATATTTCCACAATACAGGGTAGCTGGGTAACATCCGACCTAACATAGTTGAGGTGTTCTGTGTAATCAAATTTATTGGGGTTGGCTTCAGCAAGGGGAAAACAGAAACAACCAATTCATTTATGTACTATAGCGATCACCAGTATTATCTACTCCCTCCGTTCCTTTATATAAGGTGTATTTATTTTTCATAAAAATCTAACAATGTAAGGTGTATTTCTCTTTCTCCTCAGTTTCCGTTTGTGAAACTCCACCATCCAGTATGTGCCTTCCATAAAAAGAAGTATGAGATCGCAAATTGGAAGGTAGTAAAAAAAGAATCTCTCTCCTTGATTGCCTGCACTCACATTTCTCTCTCTTTCATCCCAGCAAATTGATTTTATTCCCATGCAGCAGGATTTAGCTGCGTGTTATTAGGTCGCTGGTTATTAGTTGCCGCTAATTAAGCTACTAACCACCTAAATAGTTAAGATTATTTTCGTCCAAAATTCTTCTCGATTATGTGCCTTGGTCGCCGCACCCAAAAAAATACACCTTACATAAAGGAACGGAGGGAGTATTATGTACTCCGTCCGTCCGGAAATACTTGTCCTAGAAATGAATAAAATGGATGTATCTATGACTAAAATAAGTCTAGATACAACCATTTCTAGGACAAATATTTCCAGACGGAGGGAGTAAAAGATATGAGCGGTACACAAATTCCTTCTGCCATGCCCATGTGCCAACAGAGATTTGCAAATATACATATGTGCAGCATCATATAATTTTCATATAAAAACAGTGTTTGCAGGTTAACAGTGAGACGTGATGAACTGACAATTACACTGATTCATTGCCCAATTGCCCAATAAAAAAATCAGCTTGACCAAAAGCAGATAAGTGTGCTTTATGATTAACTCGGCACACAACAGTTCTAGTCAAAGCAAGATCCAATTGACTTACTGATTTTATTAATAGCAGCAGCCATCTTCTGCAGTTCATCTGGACAGATGTCAGGGCAGTGTGTGAACCCAAAATATAGCAGCGTCCATTTACCCAAGAAATCCTTTTCAGTGACGGCTTTCCCATCATGATTTAGAAGACTGAATGGACCACCAATAGCAGCAGTTCCTACTGATTGTGCTGGCTTTACTGAGTTCGTATTGTTCTTCAGCTCTGAGAAACAAGGGACAAGAGATTAGTCATGCTAGATTAAACAATATAGAAGTTTAAGGAGTAAATTGGTCTGCACATGGATGGTACTTCCACAAAACGTTAGTAAAGGCATGGTAGCATTGGCCTCCCCCATATTTGAAATATATTTTTTCTCATTCAAGGGAAGGACCATGTCAAAATGCACAGATAAAATAGCAGAACATACTAACATCCAGCACTCGGACCTAAATGGACTTATGACTAGTATGAGTAACTATCCGCATGATCACATGATAGAGTTGGATGGAGCTAGAGTTATTGTTTCGCAGGCAAAAGAGTATTGATAATCAGACATTATAATTAATTAATCGGCAGATGTAGCATTAAAAATAGTTAGTGGATTCACGCTTTAGTAAATAAAAGAAGCAAAATAAGATACTCTTCTGCATATTCACATGATAGGGTAGCAGCTAGAAATACCCGATTCTCGGGTGAAAGAGTATTATAGTCAGAAACATCATACTGATTAATCTGCGGATATAGCATCGAAAATAGATTGCTCTGTCAGTTCGTCCAATCATGCTTTACTAAATCAACCAAGAGATGATACTATTCAATTGTTACCACTGTAAAATTAATCTCAGACTTGTCCCCCAAGTTGCCTGGTATTATACATATCTTCTCCAAGGATACGAAACTGCTATACATTCAAAATTTCTCTCTGAAATGGTGTCGCATCAGAGTTTCTCTTGGCAGTACTAATGGCCCACTACCAAGTTGAAACATGATCACAAACCCCATATATGGAAGATCCACGCAAAATAAAACTACACTAACTCACCATAGTAATCTACCTTCAATGTGACGCTTCTTTTCCTTGTCGTAGTACACTATGATTCCTCCTCCGGTCACAAGCAGCAGAAGAAAACTCAACCACGAGACGGGCTGCAAGCAAGCAACATAACAATTGAGCATTACTCTTCGACTAGCACTTTCAATGACAGAAGGCAGAAATGGCCCATTTCTGGCGCCTCATATTCAAAGGATCACTACTCATAAATCTCTTGGTTCCACATTTCGGCAACGCAGAAGTTTCAGTAGTTCTGGTTCAGAACCCGCATCACACAGCAAAACAGATATGTAAAAGTTGGAGAGCATCCGAAACACAGCTTACCCCTCCTCGGACAGACTTCCCGGAGTCCCCTTGCTGTGACTTCCCATCCCGCCCGCCCCCTCCGCCTCCGCCGTCAGAGCCCGACGCCACCGCCGCGGGCTTCGAAGCGGCCTGCGCCGCGTCAGAAGAAGCAGCCGCAGCCGTTGCCGCAGCGGACTTCGACCCACCCTGCGCCGCTTCGGCAGTAGCAGATGCAGACGCGCCTGCAGCGGCGTCGGTCGAGAAGAAACCCGTCGATGCTCTCAGCGCGGGGACCTGCCGCGCGAAGAAGCCACACACACACACACACAAACACATCCATCCGCTGCTTAGAGACAGAAGAGGAACGGCGGAACGACAGATTTGGGACGGGCGGGGCTCGTGCTCACCTGATGGAGAGGGCGCTGAGGATGGGGACGAGGAGCGGAGGCGCGCACCGCGCGCGCGAAGAGCTGCAGCGCGTGCCTCCTCATCGCGGCCGCCGTCGTCGTCTCCTGCTGTGTCTCTCGCTCGCGTGCGACGCGGCGGCGGAGGTGCGGGTGGAGGAGACGGCGCCGCCGGGGTTTGGAGCAAACTTTCTTACTTGTTTAGCAAGTGAGGGCTTCGGGCTTCCAGGCCTTCCTTTTTTCGACATCATCGGGCTTCCAGGCCTTTAATTTATGGCTGGGCCACAAAAAGATTAGGGTGGGCATAAGGCATAATATTTTGGGAATAGCAAAGCCTTATCCGTGAAAATGAGAGAGAACGCAGGGATCAAGCCCTGGCCTCCAGGGAGATACTTTAACGGCATCCCGTTCCTAGTAATTACTAGGGGGCGCCACCTACTTGAAGCGATTCAAGCCGGTTTTCTCTGTTTTTTAATTTTTTTATTTTCTTTTGTTTCTTTTTTTCCTCTCCATTTTTCATTATTTTTGCATTTTTTCTTTGTTTTCTAATTTGTATTTTACTTTGGTTTATTTTGTTTCATGTTTTCATTTTTGGGGTTTCTATTAATTTTGGTTTTCATTCTATATTTTCTTACACATTTAACATTTTCCTAATACATGTTGAACATTTTTCAATATATAACATTTTTAATAATTGGTCAGTATTTTTTTATACATATTTTAATATTTTTCAAATGCTTGATCAATATTTTTCAACTACAATATTAAAATATTTTCTAATGCATGTTCAAATTTTTACCTATACACACTTTTAAACTTTTTCAACTGCGTGATTAACATTTTCAAATACAAGACTAACATTTTTAGTACATGATTAACATTTTTATGCATGGTTACATTTTTCAAATGCTTGATTAAAAATTAAATGCAATTTTAACATTTTTTAACACATGGTCAACAAATGTTTTTTCTAAGCACATTAAAAAAATTAAAATGCTTGATTAACATTTTTTGAATATTTGTTTAACATTTTTTTTCAAATGCTTGATTAACATTTTAATATACATGATTAAAAAATTTCCTTCAGTTTATTTAATCCATGGCCAACATTTTTATATGCACATTTAATATTTTTGAAAAGCTTGATTAATATTTTTCAGATACTTGCTAAACATCTTTTTCTTAATTAACTAGTTAATTGCCTGTGCGTTGCAATGGGGCATAACAAATACTGTGCAACATGTATATCTGTAATATCCTCGTGCACATTAAATGATATTGTCAACTTTTGTGCCATGTTATAAATCACCCTTCTTCTTCATCTTCTTCACCGCTATATCCACTCCCCATTCCAAACTCGTCACTGTCGTTAACGGCCATCCGGCTATCAATCAAATTTTAGGCAAAGGGATACATGGTAGCTTCCCAGAACATGAGAAAGTTCAATACCTTTAGAGAAGTTTTAGGGTGAATATGGAACATAAGTAGTTCTATGTTCAACATAGAACTATGTGGTACACATTTTGGGAACTATGCATTGCTCAATTGCTGTAACTCTATCTTCTGCATTTCTTGTAAATTTTAGCAATACGCAGTGGCATCCGTGCTCGGTCCCAGGTTGAGCTGCATGACAATGGCAACACTGACATTGTGATCACAAATTCTAGGAATATCAGTTGTGATGTGGTGTAGAATTCAAGCTCCTGTCAATGAGACAAATTCCGAAGTGAACCTATCATTATGCCAAAATTTGCATCAAAAGTCTTAACTTAATTATTAGTACAGAACCATTATGGTGGACCTTCCACTGGTCAAAAGTTCACATACAAAGACAAATTAAATACTTAGAACCTTGATAACTACATCTCTTAGTATTGATACAGACATTATTGTTAACACATGCTTTAGTGAAAAAGGTGATCCAGAAATTTGGGATGGAATTCTATATACATGTAGAGACATGTCCTTTATACACAAAGTTAATGGAAGAACGTAAATGAAAGATGGCGCTAAATTGCAGGCAGTCATGACAAGATGCAAATTAAGTGCAAAGGGAGAAAAATTCCAAAGTGAATTAGTTTCTTTCAACCCTTTTCTCAGAGCAAGATCATACAGATGATGAACTTCATTTTGATTTTGATTTTCTTTGGGGAGAAAAATTGTTTGCCAAATAATCATCATGAATCATACATAGAACAATTGCATCAATGGTCGAAGATTTACTTAGTCTCATAAATGTGGTGATTCTTGCAAGATATTTTTTATGTAGTTATTGTGTTGATTTGCAAGGCTTTACTCCTTTTCTGTCTTGAAATTATTTAAATAATCGTGTTTTTCTCTGATTGCAAGGCTAAATTGCTCATAGACATAAGAATATTCAAATTATGCTCTAAGCAAGTATAATTGCTTAGTGAATTTTTCAATAGAAAATGAAGTGCAAAATATGAAAATAAACAGAGGTATTTGCTCTTCTTGAGCCAGACCCGCCTCAATCTTGTTGAGCCAGGCAAAGGACTTGTCTACCTGCTTCGTCTCCCAGCCGTCGACGACAACCACCACCCTGTCGAACCAATTGTTCATCTTGTCCACCGTCGCCATCTACCACAGCCACCTTAGTCCACCCGTCCTCCTCCTTCACTTGCTACATCTCCACTGGCAGTGTCGTGCCTCTCAGGACAACCTCCAGGTCAATCTGCGACACCTTACTATTGTTGCCGCTCACATTGGTTGGCGTGCCGATGAAAATTTATACTACTTCACTGGATTCTACATGTCACACATTAATCGATGAGTATGCTTGTATTCTGTACAAAGGCTTATAAAATTATAATCCAGCAGTTGTTCTTGACCATGTGAATTAGTACTTCTCAAGTAAAATGAACAGTCATTCATGAACTTGCATCTGGACATTAATGAAGCTGGATATAATCAGTACAGATCCATAGAAGGAACTATTGTACAATAGAAAAATGAAAACATTAAATGGTGGATAAAAGGAACTGATCATGGAATAGCAATGAAATTCCAAACAATATATTATCACTTGAATTCCCTAACTTTGAATACTGAAAAGGCACCCATGAATCTGCTAGACTGATATGAACACTAATATTGTACACATGAATCTGCCAACAAGGTAGCAAGATGACCTTTGGCTTGGCGTGAGGAGCGACACACAGATTGGCACGAATGAGATTGCTTATGCTGTTCTCGCCTCCTCATGTGGTGTCGCCTCCTGCAGCACAACAACACACAACCAATTCAAAATTAGAAAGTTGCAGATTATGAGTCCCTCGTGACTAACCTGGAGAATCAGGGGCGGATGTAGGGGCTACATGAACTGTGAGAGGAAGGAGAGGACTGGGACGTGGGTCGGCCACAAAGGATCCGACGGAGTCCCGATCGACAGTATGTCAGCCTAGGGGCTGGACCCGGCGGCGTCGGCGGAAGACCAGGAGCTCTTGCCAAAGCCCCCATTGAGGCCGTCGACGAAGTAGCTCCGGACGGCGGCAACGAATCCTTGGGTCCCTGCGTCGGTGACCTCGGGCCGTCGCTGGCGAGTGGCCGCTGATGCTAGATGGGAGGCACACGCACGTCCGACGGGAGATTGGAGGCACAAGCGCAAGCGCAAGATGGGAGAGGGAGGGGACGGGCGGCGGCACCGAATGCAATTTCGACATGGTGGCGGCCGCCAGATCGTGATGGGGATAACCCTAGGTGGAAGGAGGCGGCCGCCAGATCGTGATGTGCTTTCTTTGCGTGAGGCAAGAGGGAGGCGGACGAGGTGGAAGGAGAAAAATCGGGACATGCTAAAAATAGATCGGTAGGAAGCGGTGGACTGGTGGAGGCTGGGAGAAGCGAGGGGCTCGACCAAACTAACGACGTAAGAGGGGAAACGGAACCTTACGGTTTTTTTAGGTAGTAGAGATATTTTCATATACATGATAAAAATATGGCCGTTGCTACGATCAGTCGGCTGATTCGGATCATCCGTCGTCTCCAACGCTAGCCACCCGTTGGATACGGTCAACGCATCACGCTGCAAACGTACAGCCGCACCACCAACGGCGGGATGGGTCCATTGGACTGCAGCTCCGCCCACCCGTCGGCATGTTGCACTACAGCTCCGCTGCTCCGGCGTGCAGCATCACGCCATTGCATTGCAGCTTCATTGCAACACCAAGCTTTCCCTCGAGCCGCCGAAGACCTAGCATCGAGACACTTCGTTGGTCGTCTCCAACGCTAGCCACCCTTTGGATACGGTCAACGCATCACGTTGCAACGTGCAGACGCACCACCATCGACGGGATGGGTCCACTGGACTGCAGCTCCGCCCACCCGTCGGCATGTTCAGCTCCGCTGCTCCGGCGTGCAGCATCACGCCATTGCATTGCAGCTTCATTGCAACACCAAGCTTTCCCTCAAGCCGCCGAAGACCCAGCATCGAGATACTGCGACGCTAGAGCGAGCCATCGGCGAGCGCTGCGATGCGGCACCGGGGAAACTCGTCGCACGCGTGCTACATCGGAGCGGGGGGGGGGTGCGTCGACGAGTGCTCCATTGCAACTCCGCCGCCGCCGACATGCAGCACCAGTGGCGACGCCGGGGTTGCGTCGCAGCACCGACAAGGTTGCAACACAACACGGTGGAAGAGAACGGGATGTTGGGTCGCAACCCGCGGTCGTGGACGCGTTGCTGCCTTACAACACCGGCGGTTGCCGACGAGCGCCGTACTGCATCGCCGGAGCAGCACAAAAACGAGTGGTCGCCCTCCCGCCTGCGTGTTGCGTCACAGCAGAGCACCGAGTGTCGCTCGCGCGCGGGGTTGCAGTCCACGGCGGCGCGCGCTCCCCTCTAGTTCGCAGCAGCGGCGCAGGGCGACGGTGCCATTGGAGCTCCTCTGTTGAGCGGGGGCGAACTGAGAGGTGGGGAAGGAAATGTGTGGAGTAGAGATGACGCGAAGAGATAAGGTCGTGGCGACTTGACGGGAAGCGATGGATGGCCAAGGACACTTGTTGACTGTAGCACGCGGTTTACGCCCGTGATAGATCAGTTGGATGATTCTAATACTTTTCCTAAAAATATTG